GTGAGAGAAGGTGGTGATATTTATATATAATTACATATATGCAAATTTCGAAGCAAACACATGCCCTATAAACCTAATCTCACGAATCACCATGCAGAACCTAATATTCTTCCTCTTGGAATATACACATATTCGTTTTAACCTTCAAGACAAAGTAAATATTAAGTTGATGCAGTATTAGTGGTAAGAAAATGAGAGATCCATGAACGTGAATTTGGTAGCTGAAGACAGGCATTTACCATGCATCACAAAGCTTTGGTAATTAGCAATACCAATTATTAACATGTTTGTTCATGCTTGATCTGCATTGAGCCCTTATTGTTTCCTCTTATTTAAGGTCACCAATTCAGCATTAGAGAACACAGCTATCAACTGGGGAAGGTGCTGAGTCATATATAAAAAAGATGTAGGAATTGTTGTTATAAGACAAACACATGGAATATGGAATAAAACCCAAACATGTGAGGCATAGAGAGACATGTTGACCGGATATTAATTGCCCCACTGCAAATGATTTAATAATCCCACACCAAAGACAAATAATAAAAAGGAATAAACTAAGAGCAAAGTTTTTTCATTTCCCGGAGAATCTAGAGCGCATCAGCCGCTGACCCTGCATGGCTTCCAAAACTATATATATATTAACGAAGGATTTCAAACAAATCTGCTTGTAAATTCAAATGGGATTAAACAAAAAGGCATTGGAGTTGGGGGAATTGATAATAAATTAAAGGGGGAGATCAGCAAATAAAACGGGCAACTGAAGAACAAGACAAGAGAACCATGTTGACGCCGAGGAATAAGGGGTGTGTGTGTGTTATTTATTAGGCGGGGAAATATGATTACGGGTTTCCACGCGCGGGTGGGGCTCGACAGCAACTACAACAGGAATATTTGGACACGGAGAAGGAATATAGGGCGTCAGCAAAGATTACGCATTAGACAAATACTACCCGTTTCACTCAATTTTAAGCTTTCTTTTACGTGCTCCCAACGCCCCCTCTCACATTTCAATTTTAATTTCCCCCCATCCATTGTCTTATTCTTTGTAGGATGTATAAATATATCAATTGAATGATGGTCTTAAGTTTCATTGAATAATCTTAGTGGTTAAGAGAAGTATGATTTTCTTTAGAGATTTTAGATTCGAGTAATTGTGTTTGTAGGGCATTGACAGATGTATGTGTTTTTCACTAATTTTTTTATGTTAATTGTTCATTTTATTGATAGTGTCCATAAAATTGTATTTGTGTCCGCATATACAAAAAAGATACATTATTAATATGTGTGTCAACTCTATAATGTATTTCTGAATCCACCACTGCTACGAATACTTGCTATAATAATTAAAAAAATTATAAATACATATTACCTTAAAATTACCACATACTATTTAAAAACAAGTTTTCTATGTAATACTTGTGTTGTTGTAAATAAATTTGTACTATTAATACATTTTGAAGAGAATGAAACTATATGGGCATATTATAATTTAATGCACATGGGGTACTAAATTGTCAATAATGTCCGACTACATATTTTGATGTTTCCTGATTTGGTTTTTATAATGTACAATTGTTTCCAGAAATGAATGCAATTTACCCCCTCTTGTTGCCGAGTACGATTTACAGGGAATGAGGCCTCGCAGTTTAATTATGTTCTAATTCCTAAACTTTTTAGATTTTTGAAATTTAATACTTTATTTTTATTTTCAATATTTTATTATTTTTCCTTCTCTGGTTTGAAGTTCATGACTAATTGGTAACATTCTTAATGATTTTCTTATAAATTTAAATATCTAGTATTTTAATATTTAAAGGTTTTAATTTAAAATTAAAATCTAATTGATAACATATATTATAATAAAATTTGATTAGTCTGAGTTGATTATAAAATAGTATCACTTCAAAAAATCTTAATAATTTGATACGAAATGTTCAAACACTCTTGCAGATGTCATGTTCAAACATAAAATTTCTATCAATAACAACAATTCTTTTAACCACATAAATATATTAGTTCGTATATTATAAAAATTAGATAAATATATTATCAATAAAGTTTTAGTTAATTTTAAAACCGAAAATAGATGATCTAAATCCATGGGTTACAATTACAGAGAAAATTTAGAAATCTAGAATATAGAGATCGAGGACGTATATTTAATGGCAAGGAATGTACTTAAGCTTTGGTATTTTAGATTAAAGTCTCATCATGAATAGATTTGATATAAATTTATTCAAAACAAACTTCTTAAATACTTTTTATTGTCTAGTTATATTTGGTGCTTTATAAATAAAAAAATTGAGTTATGTGTATTATAACAATAAACCCTTGTATAACTATAATTTATAAGCATACAAATTGTCCTTTTATAAAGGAAATAACTAAATTTGGATCTAGACCTGTGGCTGAATGAGTCAAATCAATTAATGTACCATTGACCTTGGGCACACATTGATATTTTTGTTGGCATTACTCATCTCCATTCCATTTTAATTATAAACTATGTCTTGTATTTGTTTAACACACATCTTATTACTATTTGTGAAGTTCTTTAATTCCGATTAAAAGTTAACATATATTATTTTGATTATTTTTTTATTTGTAAATAAAATATAAGAATTACGTGATGAGTTGTCAATTGAAATAAATGGGTTTCACGAAAGGTAAATCAAATAATAATCCGTGTGGACGCGTAGGAAAGTAACAGTGAAAACATAATGAAATAGGCCGAAAATACAATTAAGAAATAGATCCACGTAAAACCATCAAATGATCTCAGTGATAAAAAGAAATGTTGACTAATTTAAAAATTTTAAATTCGAGCAATAACATTCGTATAGTGTATATGCGTTGTCAATATGTTAAGAAAATTATAAACATATACTACTTTATATGGACATTGATGGATGTAAATGAGATTCATGGTGGATACTTGCATATCCTAAAATTTAAATTTTTTATATAAATTTTTTATTTTTATTGTTACCATTTTTTTAGAATTATATTTTTATTCATTTTATCTGAAATTGTTTTATTATTAATATATATGTGTTCGGTCTGAAAAACAATTTTAAATATGTTAATGCATGTGAGATTGGCGAGGGTGATGTCGCCGGACACCCCTACCCACTCTTCTTCCCTTCATTTGTTTTATAATTCTTCCCAAGCCCTCTTGGCAGTGCACGTGTACAGCTCCATGCGCAATGGCAATTCGGGATAAGCTCACCTAAACTTCTTATGTAGTTTAAATACTAGAGTACTTCACCCAAGCTTCAAATATGGTGATGTTTGGTTCAAATATCCCCGAATTTTTGGGGGTTTATTAAGTTTGATTTGTTCCACATTAGATCCTACCAATTTAAATTATGTAAATCCTATCTTAAATTTGATGCAAATGTTCAGTTTACCACGTGGCTCTAATCGGGATGGATTAAAGGTGTAGGTAGTGATGATAGTTAATTAAAAAATTTAAATTCTTATATATTTTAAATATGTTTACTCTTAAAAAAAATTATTTTTTTATAAATATGTTTACTCTTGAAATTTTATAAATTTACCTCTCTTAACATAAAATTTTGTATTTGTCCTAACTCTAACAATGAATTAATAAATATAATTTAGGTATAATTATTAATTTAGTAACATTATATATATGGAGAATAATCTCTAGAAATCGTCAGTTTTTCATTAGATAAATTATTGGTGTCTCCAAAGAGTTACTATCTCATGAACATAAGCTTCCTAGTCTACTAAAATGTAACAAAATCTTTAATAGATTCACGTGATATGTCATAACGATATTCAAAATTTGATTGTTAGATATATCTAACTTGTTAACTATAAATAACTATAATTATCTTATGCATTACATCACCATAATGATAAAGCAACCAAACCTTCTATAATCTATACCTCATCTTCATCTTCGACTATCATGGTCATATATTTCTCATAAAAAAAATCAATCGACTATTATTTTTTCGTCAGATTGTAATTTTTTTGTCTAAACTAAAAAAAATTTAATGGATAATATTTTAATAATATTGACAAATTTATTCATCTATCATTCATATCCATCACTTCATTAATAGTTAACAATGTTACCATTTCATAAAATCTTTGTAAAATGAATATCAACATAACAAACAACTTAAATATAAATACCATGTGTTAGGCGATAAACTTTTGGAGAAGAGAACAAATAAAGCCATGTGTTAGTCAAAGGCACGAATCGGCGATTATCCGGAGACTTCGTGAGATCCTGCAACGACTCTGGAAGGTTGAACTATCTCTCATTAGCCGTGTAAGCAATGGGGCTGCTAATGCTATTGCTCGGTATGGCTACAGGAGGCCGGTGGGATTGACTGAGTTACAAAACCCACCTGCTGCTCTTCGAGCGTTCTTCAAGTTGATAAGCAGGCTTGGAGGAATACTTCTATAAACTGCTAAGCTATCCACTGTTATTTGCAATAAAAAAAAAGCCACGTGTGCACTTTGATATAATAATTAACAAATGTATTTCCAATAAATATATAGAGTAAAATCTGTAGTCCGTATAGAGAGAGTGAGAAAGTATTGTTTTCCCCAAATCCAACCATTCCCTGGCAATGGCATAGCATAAACGACCATTAACATAGACCTGCTTGCCTGCCATTTTCATTTCCCCAGTCTCTCTCTCTCTCTCTTTCTCAAGGGGAAGGAAAGGGCTCTCTTCATCCTTAAATACTCAGCTTTCCCTTTTTACTTACTTTTCCCATCATCCCCATGAAATTAAAAATAAACAAACGACCATTAACATAGACCTGCTTGCCTGCCATTTTCATTTCCCCAGTCTCTCTCTCTCTCTCTTTCTCAAGGGGAAGGAAAGGGCTCTCTTCATCCTTAAATACTCAGCTTTCCCTTTTTACTTACTTTTCCCATCATCCCCATGAAATTAAAAATAAACAAAACTCTCTGCTACTTTCTCTCTTTTCCTGAAATTTTTTTATTAGAGGGATCCTACTAAAAAGCCTATCTTCTCTTGTTACCAACACCATCCATGCACATCATAACCCACTCATGATCTAATCACTTTACTTTTTCTCTCTGTTCTCTTTTCTGGGCTTTTTTTTTTGGAACTAAGATCTTCACCCTAAGCTCACACACTATGTTGAGAACCACGGCTTTGCCTGATTTATCCTTGCAGATTAGCCCACCATCACTTTCAGATAGCAAGGCGAAGGAAATGGCCTACAATGGGTTATCATCAACCACTGATTCCGGCAGCAGCGGAAGCGATTTCAGCCACGAAAATGGATATAGTAATCCTGGAGAGCTCACGTTGAGCTTAGGGTTTGAAATGGCTGATCATCTCGGTCCTTCCCATTTACAGCAACCCAGGAACCTTAACCATCACCATCACTACCAATATCAGCCTCAAATCTATGGTCATGATTTCAAGAGAAGTTCAAGAACGATAAATGGAGCGAGAAGAAGCATCCGGGCTCCCAGGATGCGATGGACTACAACCCTCCATGCTCATTTTGTTCATGCAGTCCAGCTTCTTGGAGGCCATGAAAGTAATTATAATACTGCTCCTCTACAATATATCAACTTCGGTTTGTTTGTTTTTTCTCTGTTGGTGAAAGCATAACAAGTTTACATATTTGTTTCGGCAACTGTCACAGGAGCAACACCGAAATCTGTCTTAGAGTTGATGAATGTCAAGGATCTAACCCTAGCTCACGTGAAGAGTCATTTGCAGGTGGGGTTTACTCCTGAACAAAATGTGTATGATAATTGTTTTGACACCTTTATCGTGTTCTATTTTTGTATTTCCATATGATTCAATTGTAGTGGGAATGTATGACTGTATGAGAGAAACAAGGGGAAAGGACAAAAGGGAATCTAAATGGTAATCTCAACAATGTGTGTGGACTTTTTTTTTCCTTCTCATTTCTCTCTTTGGTTTTTTTTTTTATGTTCATGCAGATGTATAGAACAGTGAAGGGCACTGACAAAGGATCAGGTAATTGGATTTCCACCATTTTTATTTGACTTCAAATATTTTCTCTATTTTAACTTGGTTTCAAACTATGACACAAGCTCTATCATTTTATTCACTGTTTCCCCTACTAAAACAGAGCCGTTTCATTTGGAACTATTAGACTTATTTGAGTCTCAACTTTCAAATCTAAAAAAGAATCATTTGTTTTATTTTCTGGAAAAGAAAGAACGGTGCCTCAACCTTTTATGGGTGTTTCAGGACAAGTGCAGACAGATATGAGTTTGATCCAAAGGTCGGGGATTGTTGATTTGGATGGTAAACCATCACCACCACAACAGACACCACAAAGGACCCAAAGGTGAAACCATCTCTTCTCTCTGGTTTCCTTTTTCATTCTATCTCCCAAACCTAAAGATAAAAAAGAACAGACAAATTTAAATGGATACATTAACTCAATACGATCGTATGCACGCATATACAGTTTACTAGAGTCTCATGTACATTGATTTTGATGAAGATGGCCTTAGGGTTTTTTGGTAATTATCAAGCTAAGCCTTCTCTCATGTTCCATATATCTATTAATCTCCCCCCCCCCCCGTTAGATATGGAATGAATGTATTAATCCCCGTATATTATAATCAAAGTTAAGGCTTTTTTTTGTCCAAATCTCAATGCTGCTAGAATATGACGGGCATTCCTCAGCTACAGTTTACAAGAAGCACCCTATACGATGGCTTGCTATCTTATAAAAGCAAGCTTTTGGAGTTGCATTATATATATATATATATATATATGTACGTATGCATGTGAAAACTAATGAAGAAAAATAAAGAAATTCTACATAGAGAGAGCATTGTAATTACAAGCAACTTTTCATTATCTTATTTTCAGAAACTAGGCTGTTATTGTATACGTTTTCATCTTCCTAGTGGATGGGGTGCATTAGTTCGTAGCACTAATTATTATTTCCTTGTTTGCAGCGGTTCGTACCTATCGTCAATGGAGGCGAATAATTTGAGCATATCAAGCCATGGAAATGGTTTTACATTACAGACAAATGATGCCAAGGTATGATTGCAGCACTGAAAACAAAACCGAATCAAGTTGAAAGTTGGATTAAGCTAACATTGTGTTAATAACCAATCGTACCAAATATTGAAATTTTTTTGTGTTTTCCCCCTATAGGTGGATAGAACGGAGAGACTAGATTCCAGCTCTTTGTCAACTTCAGACTTGTTGCTTAACCTAGAATTCACCCTCGGAAGGCCGAGCTGGCAAATGGATTATGCTCATGAATCTTCAAATGAGTTAACCATTCTAAAGTGTTAAAATATAATGAAAAAACCAGCTAATATATTTCATTTTCTTGTCATTTGGGGATGAAATATCTAACTTGTATGAACTAGCTTGTTTTAAATTGTCTTGGAATTGAAGGGGAAAAAACCAAAAAAAGTGAATCAAAGTCTCTTGTGAGTGTGTTCGGAGGCCTCTAGTTCCATGTAATTTTGATGGCGTTGTGGAAAAACAATAAAATCCAGGAATCATCCTGATGTTTCTGGGCCATGGCTATGGTCCTTTCCATTTGATGCCTTCCTGGAAGGTCCCCAGGGTCGAGCCCTAGTGGGAAAATATCTACTATGACATTTTAAGTTAATCAATCTCTCATTTGTAGTATCCGTAACCGCGATCACAATCGCAATTTAATACCATACGTGACGCTCACATTGGAGCTTAAACTCTGATATAATTGCAGAGAAGATTTCAAACTACAAAGATTGCTGTGTGTTAGGTTGTGATTAAGGTTTTTGAGCGCTGATCCCGTGGTTTTGGGCTATATAAGACAAGCAAGAGTTAGGACGTGCAAAATCTGAAAAGGGATGGGTCCAAGCTCCATGCACATAACAGGGCCAGTGGGCCACTGGAAAATTATAATGACTCTATCCCTAGCCTAGGTATTAATTAAAGTATCAAGTAGGCGAGAAAGCGTGATCATTCTCCTAGGACCCAGTTCATTTCTCAGAATAGTCATGAATCATGATTCCTTACCCTGGCCGATACATGCAGGGAAGAAACTTAAGGGACCACCAAGTAACTTCATATAGGTTATTTGGTTGAGGTACCATCCCCTATTTGCTTAAATGCTAACTTCATTCCATGTAAAGGGAAACCATATCTTTTGGAAACACAAAGGATACAGTGGTTTCTTAAAATCAAAGTATATGAACTAGAAAGTCTCGTATGCTATATGTCAAGAGTCGGAAATGGATGAAACACGCTCAGAAAGAAGGACAAGTTTTCCCCATTGTTGGTTGTCGTGTAAATTCCCACGCCCTTTTCCTCATATCATTACTGCAACGACAAAAGCAGAAGAAAATAAGAAAACTTGGTACTTTATTTCATATGGATGTAAGGTGAAGGGTCGCTTTCAATCTTTTTTATTACCCCATGACTGGCTGTGTATTTTCTTCAAAGGTTAAAGGAAAAGACCCGCCAGATCCCAATTCTGATTCTCTTCTATCAAGTGGGGGTTGCAATGCTGGAAATCAACATTATTCTGGGTCTTGTCTGCTCTCTTTCCCTTTACGCCTTTCAGAAAAATGGGTCCAAAAAGTAAAGGGAAATGGTATTGGAAATTGGGGACTGCTCCTTGTTTCATCCATAATGATTGCACGGTCGTCTATTGCGTCGAAACTGTGTCTGTTGAGTTAGGAATGCGGTGCACTGGATTATATATTTATATTTTTTTCAATCGTTTCAATATAAATCAAATATAGGATAAATAATATTGGTGGGTTTTTATGTTTTTAGATTGCTCGATTTTAATTATCAATTTTCAAAAAGCACACTTTAATTAGTTACATCATCGGTTCATATTGTAATATTGCAGAAATGTTTCAAGAAGTAAAGAAAGAGTTGTTTGTTTCTTTGTTTTGAGTACAAAAAGTTTATCTAACACAGTATACGCTACTGTTTTTATACGCACCCTTAGCAGTATAGGTAGCCATCTAACTGACTAACAAACTCATAACAACCTATCTTCTAGAATATATTCTAGAACTTCTCTACACCTGGACATGCATGAGCTGCATGCAAGTGCATGGCATTACACAAGCAGACTCTTCATTCACGTGAGCTTACATTTTTCTCTCAACATTCTCTCTATTTTCTCAACCTTTTTGATGAAAAGATTAACACTTGAATCGAAAATGCGACATCTCCTTCTGTTCGACTTGAATCAAAAGTGTCTATACTTCCTTTCGTTCTTCTTATTCACCTTGATTTCTTTCTTCTTCATCCTCTTAAACAAGGTTCTTTGACATATTTTTTTTAAAGAACTATATTATCATATTTATTACAAATTCACCCCAAGTAATTATATCCATTTTGCTTTACCAAATTGAAAAAAAAACAAGAGTGGCAGTAAACCACAAACTCCTTCAGATGAAGAATAGGACCACCGCCTGTTTAGCAAGCCTGCTACGGCTCATCTAACTGGTTCTGCGCATCCGACGTCCAAGTTGCATTATGAGAGTGTTATCTTTGTATGATTCCTCGCCTAAAGTATCCGACTCAGCGATTGCTTCATCAAATGCCTATTTTGCAAGATTGCAAGCGCGATCAGGAGAGTTGTGAATCTCGTTATAGAAAACAGAGAAATTGAGTGTTGATCCGAGCCGGATCGGGTGAGTTGGGGCCAAATCGGCGCTGGCAATGTCCTGAGCAGATTTGTAAGCAGTAAGAGTACTCTCAACAGCTTCCTTACGTTCGGCTCTAGTCTTGAACTCAGTCAAATACCTATGATAATCACCCTTCATCTTAAGATAAAAGACCTTGGAGTCTATAGTGGAGGCCGAAGGGATGAGCCTGGAGTCAAGCAGCTTCACGATCCTGCCACAGATGGAGGAAAGCTCGGCCTCTATCTTAGCCCGATAATCACGGATGACAGTCACGTGATCCTCGTTACCACGGCTCTCCTCTTTCTGCTCAATGGTGGAAACGATCCGCCACGAAGCACGGCGTGTGTCGATCACGTTCTTGTATGCGACTGAGAGGAGGTTCCTTTCCTCGACGGTTAGTTCACCGGATGGAGTTGAGCCGAGGACCAACTTTTGCATGAACTGAATCATCTCCTTGTATCGCTCGGCTTGCTTGGATAGCTTGCCTAGGTACACGTACTGATCGCGGCTCAGGTTATTGGGGACTGTCGTCGCCATTTGCAGGAATTGGTGACCTAAAGAAAGAGTTCTTTGTTTCTTTGTTTTGAGTACAAGAAGTCTACCTAACACAGTATACGCTATTGTTTTTATACACAGCCTTAGCAGTATAGGGAACCATCTAACTGACTAACAAACTCATAACAACCTATCTGGACATGCATGAGTTGCATGCACATGCATGGCATTACACAAGCAGACTCTTCATTCACGTGGGCTTACATTATTCTCTCAACAGTTCAATATAATTTAATTTCTTTATTTTAGTTCTATTATTTTTTCCTATAAAGATTTTTAAAAATATTATGCTATGAAGAATAATATATTTTATATTTGTTATTATTTCTTGAGATTTTGAGTTTGAACATCGTGTATTTCAGAAATATAAACATCCATTGTTTAAGAATTAAATTTTTCTAAATAAATATTATCTTATATTTACTACATATTTACAAGAAAAAAACATTTGTTTAAATATGTTTCATAGTTTCACATAGAGCCGGTATTAAAGAATTCAGTTGGCGAAAACTGTATGTAATAAAATATTAAAATAAATAAAATAAGACAGAAAATACAAGGTTGAAAGAAGAAAGAATTGAAGGTAAGTGGGATAGTGAAGAAAAGCATTTCATAATTAATGTCTGGAACTGGAATTGCCTCTTCTGCAGGGAAGTTACTGGAAGCCTCCCGTCGATGCATTCTTCCACCCTACCGTCTTCTAGTGCTCCCCTGACCACATTATCCTCCGTGGATTCCAATGTCTTCTTCCCTGTTATCACCTCTAAGACCAATACACATTGGCAATAGACTTGCTAGACCAAAGTCTCCGACCTTGGGCTCACCTGAGCAATCTATGCGAACATTAGTTGATTTAAGGTTGTAGTGAATAACGTTCATACGATGCAAATAGGCAACTTCTTCCAGGCTCGTGGAGGTGCTTATACAAGCTCCCACTGGATGGCATGGCGACCTACGACCAACAATGTAGATTTCACCCTATTTGAGCAATTAATCTGAGGAGTGTATTATCTCGTGAATTAATTTATTCGAGAACGTTATCTCGAGAGTTTAGCCTCAACATTATGGTGCGACTAAATACTTTTGTATTAATTTTTGAGACACAATATCCATTTTACAGTTATACTATGAATCACAATACAATAAACTTAATTTTTTTATTATTAATATTTTACTTTATAATAATATTACTTCGAACAATAAATATAATTTATTTATACACAATACAAATCCGAGTAACTGCCTTGGCTCCTGTTGTGCTGATATAGTTTATTGTGTTTGTACTATGTAATCGTTAATATTTATTTAGCCGCATCTCTATTTAAAAAAGGACCTTCCTGTTGACTATAGCATGAAACGGTGGGCGTTCCGTATATCCTGAGAAAATCACCCTCAGTTTTTCTCTACTTCTTAACCCACCACTCTTTCTTCAAAACTGATAGCTGTGGAATGTTATAAAAATTTCAAATTCTCCCATCGATTTTCAACTATTTTACTTTTATATAATTTTAATTACATTAATCACTTATATTGTTTAAATTTCTCATATATTGTTTTCCTATTACCTGACGCTTAAAACAGATACTACCGTAACATATCTGTGTGCTTTTAACTTCCTTTACCTATTTCGGAAGCCTTTCTTCAATTCAAAATAGTTGGCTGCAAGACTAAGGAGTATGGAACTTAAAATTTATATTTACTTGACTTATTTTATTGAAATTTAAATAACAGAATTATCTTCTCAGAAACAGTGGGCGTTTTATTTAAATATTAGAGAAACCATGGTTTTTCATTTTGTTTTTCAAACTCCTCATACTAATTTAGCAAACTAGTTGAAGATTAAAACAAAATTCAAGCCACCATGTGTGACCAGTTGACCACCAACCAAGGTGTCAAAAGACACTTTATAGTTTATGGCATTGGCAGCTCAAAGTGAGTTTTGTATTTAACACTTGTGAGAACAACTTCACAAAGGACTAACCAATCCCACCCTTAGAAATAACAAAAGAAACAATTAAAAATATAATCATAATTTAAAGGGCAAATTACCTATTTGTTCATCCACCTATTACTTAGTTTCTATTTGAGTCATTCTATTATTTTTATCTCAAAATCATACTTACTGTTATGCTTTGGTCACTCACTGTTAAAAAATTAATGGTGCTGCTGATATGTCACCATAAGATAATGTCATGTTAGCATTGACAAAATAAAAAATGTCACGTCAGAATCACCTTTAATTTTTTTAACGGCGACATTAGGTATTATTTCGAAACAAAATAATAGTTTGATGACTAAAACAAAAACTAAGTAACATGTGGATGACCAAATATGTAGTTTACCCTAATTTAATTTCACCTATGATGCGCAGCCTAACAAGACCCCTCCCCATACGGCAGTGGCATCCTCAATCCCCAAGAAAAATACTTAAGAGACAGAAAACTAATGAACATTTGGGTTGCAAAAAATATAAAATAAAACCAAATCTGTCTCAACTATAGGTTTGTCTTGCTAGACCCACCAAACTATATATATACATGCGACCTTCCCCTAACACAACATCTCTCTATAGTCTATACACATAACCAAATTAAGCTTTTGCATGATGGATCTTTTCAGTCTCCCTTATCTTAATTACTCTCTTGTGTTTCTTACCCTCACCACATTGTATTTCTACACTAAACTAAAAAGATCCAACGACAAAGCTGCACCAGAAGCAGGTGGTGCATGGCCAATAATTGGTCATCTCCCAATGTTAGGGGGATCCAAGGCCGCTCATGTAACTCTGGCAGCCTTGGCTGATAAACTTGGACCTGCCTTCACGATCCGGTTAGGTGTTCATCCTGCCTTGGTGGTCAGTTCACGAGAAGTAGCCAAAGAAATATTCACCACCAATGACATGGCCGTTTCATCTCGTTCCAAAATGGCAGCCGCCGAACACATGGGTTATAACTACGCCATGTTTGGGTTTTCTCCTTATGGACAATACTGGCGTGAAATGCGAAAGATAACAATGTTGGAGGTTCTATCCAATCATAGGATCGATCAGCTGAAGAAAGTTTTCGTATCGGAAATAGGTGGGTCACTGAAAGATTTATACAAGTTTTGGGTAGTTAAAAAGGTTGGCGAATCGGGTGTTGTTTCCGTTGACATGAAGAAACGGTTCTCGGACTTGACTTTGAACGTTATTCTTAGAACCGTGGCCGGGAAGAGATATTCCGGCGTTGCTAAAGAAGAGCAGCAAGTGGTGTCACAGTACCGTAAGGCCTTGAGGGATTTCTTCTATTTGTCGGGCATATTCGTAATAGGAGACGCAGTTCCGTTTCTCCGAAAGCTAGATTTGGGTGGCTATGAGAGGTGGATGAAGAGAACTGCGGCGGAGTTGGACGACGTCGTTGGGGGATGGTTAAATGACCATAGGAAGAATGGACGTTGGGACGAAAGTAAAAAAGAAAGGGATTTCATGGATGTTATGAACTCTGTTCTTAAAGGTGCTGACCTTGCTGGTTATAATGCTGATACTATCAATAAAGCTACTTCTTTGGTATGATTTTTTCTTCTCTCTTTTCAATATTAATCAGTTTTTTCATTTATAAATTCCTAACAAAAATATCCATTTGCAGAATATGATTTTAGCAGGGAGTGATACGACAACAGTTACCCTAATCTGGGCACTTTCACTACTGCTAAATAAACCTCATTTAGTCAGAAAGGCTCAAGAAGAACTAGACACACATGTTGGCAAGGACAGGTTCGTGCAAGAATCAGACATTAGTAATTTGGTGTATATCCAAGCCATAATTAAGGAGACATTGAGAATGTACCCTCCAGCACCACTTTCAGCACCCCGTGAGCTCAGTGAAAGCTGTTCCATTGGTGGTTATGAAATCCGTAAAGGCACTCGGCTGATCGTCAATCTTCATAAGATCCAAAGAGACCCGAACGTATGGTCGGAACCATCCGAATTCAAGCCGGAGAGGTTTCTTACGACACATAAAGATGTTGATGTAAGGGGTCAGCATTTCGAACTGATGCCCTTTGGTAGTGGTAGGAGAAGCTGTCCCGGAACATCTTTTGCACTCCAAATGCTGCACTTGACACTGTCGAATTTCCTACATGCGTTCGAGTTCTCGAGACCAGGCGATGATTTGATCGACTTGACTGGCACTGTTGGATTAACCGACATGAAATCTACACCGCTCGAGACACTCGTCTCGCCACGCCTTGCTCCTCAGCTTTATGTATGATCCATGAATCCAGGTGAAGATCGCTAGCCTAAAGGGTGAATCAGATTTACACCTTTATTGTGTTTACTGGTTGATTTGTGCTGTAGTTTTTATTTCTTAAACACCACTTTCCCTCTCTTTTATTTCCCACACAATGTAGCAATGTTTAAATATAATATATATAATAAAGGAAGATTTCATATTTCAGATTTCATTTCCAAATCATATTGTATCTTTACTTGGTGTTGGATTCTTGAATAGTAACAGGAGAACGAAGCAAAACTTAATAAAAATATAGGTGGGAAAATAATCTCACATAGGTGAAAAGTCAAAAATTACCTGAGGTAAAACTATTATTTTCACCATTTTATACATTTTTAATTATAGAATCATAAAAATATTTATTTTTAAACTTATATTAAATACCATCAAATTAAAATTTTATTTGATATTCTATTTAAATACATAGTAATATTTATAATTTAATCATATATTAATTTTGAGATTAATTTGTTAATCTATATCTTTTAAAATAAATTAACTAAATTATATTTTAATCACAAGAAATAATCAAATGTACAAGTTAATATCTTTTCAGAATATTTCTTAGTCATTAACAATATGCACTGTAACATCCTCAATACCGGGTTAGTGACTAGATTGAAAAATTTCAGAAATTGGTGATTAAAGTATGATAAATGAATAGTTCAATGACTTATTTAAAATATATGCTAAAGGTTGTTTAGTAATAATTGAATGAATTAAAGGGTAAAATGGTCATTTGACAAGTATGATTTTTATTTTTCCTTTATAAGATAAGGGAACCACGTGGAAAAAGAGAGATTTCTCCAGAATATGCTCTGTTTTTCCTTTCTTCTTCTTCACGTGGAAGCCAAGAGCAAATGTGAGTTCATGGTTAGTTAATTTCTTGATGAATTCAAGGTTAGTTTGTGATCATTAGACGATAACTAAGCCTAAGGAAAGCTTAAGTTATCTTAAAATCAAAAGACGACAGAGTTAGGATAGATTAAGTAAAAGGAGTTTTTAAGTGAATTCTTAAAATAAAAGGAGTTAATAGATTTTTGAAGTTGAATTTGACTTGTCAAGGGTCTAATTAAGAAGTTAGAAGCAATAGAATTGGAATTAAAACATGTTGCAAAGTTGGTATAATTCTTGAGTTACTTATGAGGGATAGAATTTTGAGGTTAAAGATGGTTTATATGGATGTAAATTGGTTTAAACATATGTATATGAGTTAAGAACATGAAAGGGGATGAAAGATGAAGCATTTGAGTGGATATTTGTGCACGAAATGGAATTCTGGGCTAGGGTGCATCGGAACATATTCCACTTGTATCGATGCATCAAGGGTAAATTTCTAAAAATTGTTCAGTGTGTATTGATGCATAGGAAGTGCATCGATGCACCCCTTAAAAATGGAAACATCGAATGCAATTAGTGCATCGATGCATAAGGAGTGCATCGATACACCCCCTTAAGATTAAAACACGAATGTATTTTGTGTCGATGCATGGATAGTGCATCGATGCACATATTAAGGGATGCATCGATACACTGTAGAATGTACCGATGCACTTCAAGGGAAAATAGAATTATACCTTTCTTTTGGTCTAAGAAATGATAGATTAGAATATATCAATTGGATACTTGTAACACCCCCAACTCGTACCCGACCCGGATACGAGTCCGAGGTGTCACATTGACTTTTCAAACTTTGACTCTTGACAAAATTCAAAGAAAATTTAAAACTTTCATTAAAGTAAAAGCAGTTTAGTTACATAATTTGACCACCAAAACCAAAATCGATCAGAGCATATTTAACTCAATCAATTAGTACATGCCAACTATATTCAAAATAACAAAAATCATTTAACTCATCTATTTTCTGATCTGAAATCTTGTAAGGGAGATGCTGACCTGTATTGCTCCTCACAGCTTCTATATTCACTTTCTGTAACCTGAGTGAGAAACACTCACACGCTAAGTCGATGACTTAGTGAGGCATAAAGAAAACACATCTAATGGAATTCATACCCACTAATCATGCATGATTGTTTTATGCTATCAAATTATACAACTCATTTACATATACATCAACATATATTCATGTATATTATGTAACAGATACCATAACCCCTATCACATATATATCATATCATGCAATTCATATCACACATCATATATATATCACATACATTGTTCTCATATCACCAACCTGTTTATCCTTACTAATTCCCTTGTCATTACTTCAATTCCGTCATATGAGCATATAATGAATATAAACATATTATATATATTTTAATATGCCACAATACATTACTAATTTCTATAATAATATAATAAATAAACGCATAGCATCTCATATCACCCATGACATATATGCACTTCTACCATGTCACGAGAAATACACATATCATTATATCAAATTATGTTCTCTTTTCAAAGCCCATGTACACATGTGAGAACTATAGATGTGAGTCTATAGAGGTTGTGCACTATGTTGTCACCACAGCTCGTATAATTGCACCGAAGTGTCACGTAGAATTGCACCAGAGTGTCGCGTAGAATTGTACCGTAGTGCCATATAATAATTTCCATAAGGACCACATATTATTCCTTAAAAATCATATACATATACTAGGGATCAAGTATGTGTCTCACCAGACTTCACACATGTTCCAAAGAATACATATATGTCCCGAAGGACATATATCATTCCTTAAGAATCATATACATATGCCAAGGATCAAGTATGTGTCTCACCAGACTTCACACATGTTCCAAAGAATACATATATGTCCCGAAGGACCGCGTAGACCCTCGACTCTTGGCATGCCAACTATACCCTAGCTCTCATGACACATAACATGGGCATTATATATGTTAACATATTCACATATACACATAGTCAGTAGTTCTTTCACATAGCTCATCGTCATATAAATCACATATCCCATATACATATAAAACATGGTTCACTTACGCGTAGAACATTCATATAATCGCATAGTCATATAATATTTCATATAACATATATTTTCTCTTCATATATCTCATATCATGTATCATATCTTGTGATATATCATGTTACTTATAATCACATAACTTTTACTCATAGGGTTCAACATCATAAACTTAGTTCACTTTTTCATATTCATACATTTATATACTCTTATATGTCTTATCAATAACTATAAACTTACTCATATTCTATATACTATTTTAATATAATTTGTATAGTAATATTCTATAATTGTATCATATAATGATTTTACCCAAGTACTCCTTTATAAAGTTTATATTACAGGTTCAATTAGTATCATTCTATCCTATAATTTCCACTTATTTTATATCATTTTCCCTTTTCACATAACCATCTATTATTTAGTTCAATTTCTCATGACTTCCACAATACTCTTTAATAAAACTTTGTAGCTCTTTAACTTAATACAAAATAGTTTCCTTTAATTTATCAATCTTATTAACTTTATTATTTATGCCCTCGAATTTATTATTCTCTTAGAGTCTCCTAACATTTCTCGTATAATCACTTACCATATCATATGACTTATACTGATTATCTTATTCTCTCATGTTCATTTCATTTTAGACTCTATCATATAACTATTCCATGTTCTTCCATTACATAATAAAGTTTTACATAAATCATATAGCATATACAAAGCATATCATTATCTTTAGTCATGCATACATACAATCAATGTAATACATATAATCACATATAGTTATAACCAACACATAATCATGTTTATGACTTCATGCATATTACTCTAGGAAATAGACTCATCGCAAGTCTTATTTCCATTAAACACTACATGTCACTAGTATGTACTCACCTTGGCCTCACTAGTCAATTCCAATCTCTATTTTCCCTTGATCGATCTTACTTGCCAAATGTTCCGGAATGCTTTACGCGCAGAATCTACATAAATGTACATTTTGAGGCAATCATTAGATACCTACACCTTGTAATTGGATACTAGCAACTTAAACGAACTTATTAAACCCATATTCACAATTTTCCTTTAGGGGGGAATCGGTTCCCCTATGAGATTTTAGAATTTCTGGTTCGTTTGAGGGGTATCTATTCCCCTTGAATGGGTACCGATTCCCCTAGCCCAGAAATCATATTTTCAACACGAAATTTACATTTCATCTAAACACTTCATATTTCAACCTCTTTTATACTAAAACTCAAACACACATACTTAAGCCATTTGTACTCTTTAACCCATCTTAATTCTCAAAACTCTCCTCTTAATGAAATTCATAATATACTCAAATTTCAACATGTTCTAAATTCCTTTCTATCACTCCAAATCTCTTAAATTCAACTAGACAAGTCAAATTCAACTTATCAACTTTCTTTCAAGATTTCATTCAAAAACTCACACTTCATATTTCAACCTCTTTTATATACTAAACTCAAACACACATACTTAAGCCCATTTGTACTCTTTTAACCCATCTTAATTCTCAAAATACTCTCCTCTTAATGAAATTCAATAATTATACTCAAATTTCAACATGTTCTAAATTCCTTTCTATCACTCCAAATCTCTTAATTCAACTATAGACAAGTCAAATTCTAATTATCATCCAATAATCATAACCAAATCCTAAATTCAGCTAAATATCAACTAACAAGAGATCTTACCTTTGCTTATGGCTTCATGGTGGAAAAGAAGAGAATGAAGAGAGTCTGGAACTCTCTCATATTTCCCACGTTTTATAATACTCAAAAAGGGAAGATAAAAATCTTTCCCATGAAAAGACCTTGTTACCCCTTTAGTTCATCCATCTTTGTTATTTAATCCAATATTAAAATTCTTTACTTAAATCCCGAGACTTTTAATTTCATTTCTAAATTGAACACAAAACTTTCAAAATTTGCAATTTAGTCATTGACCTTGATTTGGGATGTTACAAATCTTCCCTCCTTTAAAGAAAATTTATCCTCGAATTTTCACTGTATGCCTTTATAATATCACGTCTTCTAATATTTTCATGTTGTTTCCCTTAATATTTCCTACCACCGCTACAACCTACCATTTTCCCATACTCAATTCTTCATATACGTCCACATCTTTATAAGTCCATATAATATTATTCATTATATAGATATCAACCCCAAATCCTTAATCCTCATTATTATGGATCAATTG